CTATCGGAAAGTTTTGCTCATCTAACATGCGGTCAATCAAGCCATTCACTATGTATTCAAATGACGGATATGCAAAGATCCGATTCAAGTCTGATGGCTCGAACACACGAACTGGATTTTCATTGACGTACCAGCTGAAAAGCAAGTCCTCCTACCCACTGGGTGGATCATTAAGCTCGACATGCTAGTAAGTCTTTCATGTTGTTTGCATCTGTAATTCTTTAGTCAAAAGAAATTGTCTAAGCTTAAAATCACCTATTTAATCGTTTAAACATATGTAATCATATGATAAGCCTATACCTGCACCCTTTTTTAGTGCATTGCAGTGGCAGATTAATAAAAGATTCAAAGGTTGGCGTTATTATTGATTTTCCCATGTGTTAAAAATCCTAGATTCATCCCAGGGGGCTTGTAATTGTGGCCATTCCAGAATGGGGGATCTTTTTTTCAAAATCTGTAAAAAAGAAAAAAAATCTGATTTTTCATTGACAACTGCCATGTGTTTTGTTCTGTGGTAATTCGATTAAGCCGTCTTCAAGGCGTCTCAATATAATAACTAGTATAGTGGGTTGGGAGCTTTTTCAATGGTGGGGGGGAGCGTTTGCTCTTATTGCCACTCGACCTAAAATAGGCAGAGCTGTACATGTTATTGACAGTTGAAAGGTGTTACTCAAAGTTTCGCACCCAATTTAGTTATCAAGCATCTGTTCTCATAGGCATAATAAACCTTTTATTATGCTTTTGAGAGCAGACGTGCCTATAAGGTTGCCTATCGGGATTCAACGGTATTATGATTTCGCATCAGGTATCAATTTTTCGAACTCGGGAAGAGTATTCACAACCCAAGTTGTAACATGCCATGGACAAAAGCAAGCCAGTCTACGTTTCCACATCATCGGCAGCGAGTTGGGCCGTTGGTCTATCGGTGCAAATCACTGAACTCACCATAAACCTCTAAGTTTTGTTGTATGCCATTTAAAGATGCCATTCCTGTCAGTCAACTTCTCTGAGTTAGGATTGCGAAAACAGGAATAAGCCTTACGTTCCAGATTGGATACGTTACGATATGTTTGTCTTATGTGTTGTCCAACCAATGGGAAATTTAGATTGCCAATGGGAAGTGTCTGTAATAGCAGATATATTTACAGTAGACTGGAGAAAGATTGCAACATATCAGCATCATTAACCCTAAATTGTTGTTTCCATTTGTATTCTATTTCATTTAATTTCTGTTGCATGTGTTTTCAAATCGACTTTAACTCTTCTATTGTAATAAAACATTAGTTTATCAAGTATCTTCTTTGTAGTTTATCGTGTGCGACAGAGACTGTAGAATGACAACAAATTGTTTTTCAGCGACACATCTGGTCGGGCAGGAGTGTTCTATACCGCTGGCTGGCCAATCAGATATTTTTCCGGAGGGTCAAATCACTGTTACATGAGGTATTACGTCGGTAGAAACAGCTTGAAAGTTGTTGTCATGGACTTGGACATTTTTTCACCTTCCTACTGCTATTCATATTCGCCATACTTCCAAGTGAAAGGTATGCATTCGCGCTATTCTTTCCATATATGATAGCATTCATATTTGCCCCTAGGATCTTTCAGCTGGCATTATCAAAAAATTACCCTGCTATCTCGTATCAGAATTAACGCATTTGAATTCAAAACGTAAAATAGTCCATAAAAATACGTTCAGTGCAGATTTTAAAAATTGTTTTAAAGACGTAGTAGAGGGTCCCTTTCATTTGGGTCCTCCTTTATCGTTTTTGTTGTCGGAATATTATCTAGATCAATGTAATACTTCATTACAAAGTCCGTCATTTTGTCGACGCCCCCATACCTTGCCTCCTTTGGTTCCACAGGCAAGGAAACAGAGTTTTGAGGCTTTTGTAGCAAAGAAGATCAACTAAGCTTTCTCTCACGAGCAATGCTGAGAAATCTCCTTTCTAAGTAAAAAAAAACCTCCCCAACGTATTATCCGGCTATTGGTAAAGAAGAGAGTAGCCCAATAAAGATTTGAACAGTTCAGGGGCGGACTGGCTGGTAGGGCTATTCGGGCGATTGCCCGAAGGGCCGGTCGGTTTAAGGGCGCAGCTGATAAAATTGCAAAAAAAATAAATTAGCTTAAAAAGTGAATGCGAGGCAAAAAAGTATACCCGCGTGTTGATCTGTTTGCCTTGAATTTTCAGAGACTTTGACCCCGTTTACACTGTCCCGTGCAAGTTTGGAACCGTGACAAAACTGTCGCGGTTCGCCCTTGCGTTTACACTAGCACTGTGGAACCGTGACGATTTTGCTCTGCTATCCGGAACAGTTTTGACCCTGCTTTGAAAGCGAACGAATTTTGTACCGTCACGGTTGCGTTTTTGAACGGGACAGTGTAAACACCTATCCGAGACGATTTTGTCACGGATTCACAAAGAGGCCTTTTGTATGGCTGTTTCAGGTAATCGAGGCTTTGATTGTGGCGTAACTACGTTCTCAAATTCTGAAGAAAAGGAAATTCTGAAGAAAAGACGACCACAGAAAAGGCTTGTAGTGTTTCCCAGTCCAAGCCTTGATTGGACTTTGCAGTTTTGTAGTCTAAAATAACACTGAAAATTAAAGCCACCTTGTCTTTCGTCCAAGTAAAGTTTTAATCGGCCTTCCGCTCCATTTTAACTCACAATAAAAATTCGATTGTTGACTTCAGCGGCAAAATAAAAGCCTTGGTTGACTAAATACAGCTTCTTCTAAACAATGTTCTACCATTAAATTAAGGTCGTACCGGTACAGTGTAAACGGAACGGCTAAACGGAACAATTTGGAACCGCGACAGTGTAAACACTTGCGAACCGTAACGGTACAAAATTGTCCCGGGACAGTGTAAACGGGGTCTAAAATAACACTGAAAATTAAAGCCACCTTGTCGTTCGTCCAAGTAAAGTTTTTATCGGCCTTCCACTCCATTTTAACTCTCAATAAAAATTCGATTGTTGACTTCGGCGGCAAAATAAAAGCCTTGGTTGACTAAATACAGCTTCTTTTAAACAATGTTCTGCCATTAAATTCTGAAGCCATTACACTGTACCGGTACAGTGTAAACGGAACGGCTAAACGGAACAATTTGGAACCGCGACAGTGTAAACACTTGCGAACCGTAACGGTACAAAATTGTCCCGGGACAGTGTAAACGGGGTCTTTGTGGGAACAAATACACGCGAGTACTCCAAAACAATCAAAATTATGAATTCATAATTGTCACCGCAGCCCGAACACACTTCTTCAGGAAACATATTATTGACATCTTGTAATAATTTCTCTTGACGGTATTTCCTTTTTGGCGACATATTATACTGTAACACCCCTGTTTCAATGCGATACATAAGATTTTAACCTGCCCTGATGTCTTTTTACTTAGCTTTTGCTTGATGCTGGTCATGTTTTTGCCTAAGCACAAGCTATTGCTAAATGTAATAAATCTAAAAGTCCAAAAATTAGAGTTCACTAGGCGATTTGCTCTGTGATGTGAAGCAATGAAGAGGGCATACGTACAACAAGGGAAGAGCAAGAAGACTTCGACCAAAGGCATACCTGTCAACCTTAAATTTTCAAAACCTGAAGATTTTGGATTTTTTCTAAAGAAAAACAGGGAGATCACAGTAATTCGTTAAGGGAATAAATATACCTGACAAAATTTTGTGCTCGGCAAACAGTTTATGACAAAACTGATCATGAGAAGTATCTTTATAGTAACTTGTGGAAGTATCTTCATAATAACAAAAAACTGTTCTCATGTGGAAGTCAATGTGGCCATGATATCTTAATTATGCATCTGTAAAAAGAAAGCATACACAATCTTTGAAGGATAAGATGCGCAGTTCAATGGAACATTCGGTGAAGAATCTTCCTAGGCGTTCTGCTAAACATCTTTGAAATCGGGAGAAAAATTTTAAAAACCGGGAGACCGGGAGAAAGCAGTCAAAAACGGGAGTCTCCCGGCTGAACCGGGAGGATTGACAGGTCTGCAAAGGTGGTGCACAGAAATATCACGATAGAAGCTTTTCCACTTTAAACATATAAAGAACAGATTACAAAGTAATTTTTCGCAGCCAAACCTGGAGTCCTTCATGTTATTGTTTTTAGAAAAACACCTGTTAGATGACATCCAGAACGGTCACATTATCAACATATAAGTTCCTGTATTTAGAAACAGAGTCAAACCAATGAGGTAAAATTTTTGTTTATTTACTATTTAGTCAGCAAATGACACATTTAACATATTCTGTTAACCAGAATTCGTCCATGCACAAAATTACTTAATTTAAAAACTTGTTTCCCTTACAGACTAACATTATTGTGGGTCGGTTTGATCAAAATTTGCCCGTGCCAAAAAAATTAGCCAATCCGCCCCTGGAACATTTCAACCAAGTTCCTCTTTAAATATCATCAACATTCGCATTATACTTCAACAGACCATTTCCCTTATTTGGCTGTACGTCAGTGAGCATCCAGTGCATTCTGTTACTTGTAGTTAAACCTGCGAACGTTTCTTTATTTTCGCTACGGCGATCGAATGAAGCTCTGTAATTGTTCCTCCCTCTTTGCTCGAATTATCGTGCCACTCCACCGGGTGAATAAGTAGAAGAGTTTTCAGGATTACTTGAGAAGTTTGGATTGGCCAACAAGGATGAACAATGTTTTTGAGCCAATCAGACTGTTTGTTTACAATTTGAACCAGCCGATGGTATAG